GTAGTAGAATTTGACCCGCCACAATTGTCAATAACAATAACAATAATAGTAATAGCTGACATGTAATGAGGGTTACTATGTGACTAGCCCTGTGCTAGGCATTTGACACATGCTGCCACATATAATCTTCATATGGCTTTACCCGGTTGGCATTATTATTTGCTTCATTTCACAGAGGAGGTGACAGAGACAGATTTTAAGGCATTTGTTCAAGATCGTATAGTTCGTAAGGAAATCATAATTAGCCCTGGTGATACAAAGAAATGGTCCCTCCCTCGGGGGAGCTCAGAGTATGCAGTGTGTCCGGAGTGCAGAGGGTGTGGTGCCCGGGATCACTGGGTAGCAAAGAGAAAACATTAGAACTTCTATTTCTGTTTGCGTTTTATATTTAAAAAAATGAGAAAGCACTTAAGCACTGTTGTATTAGTTAGTGTACCATTGACCCTGACTCCCCCACTCTGTCTGTAGGCGCTCACCTGTCCCTCACAGTGTTTTAGGCATCCTGGCAGGAAAGGTGGGACTCTACTACATGGGGGGTTGACAGTCGAGTGCCAGGAAAAAAATACAAGGCACTCAGTTAAATTTGACTTTCAGATGAACAACAAATAATTTTTTAGTATGGGTACAGCCCAAATATTGCCGTTTATGTTGTTTTGCTCAATCTGGCTGTGGCATCCTCTCTGCTGCGTTTACATTCCGTGGTTCCTGTCTCAGGATTGATTTATTGATTATAATACCTAGTTTTGCCTAACTTCCCCAGTGACAATACTCGATTAGCATTATCTTCACGCTGTGGCGCTTGTGCACAGGGCCTGAGCCTACATCTCCAGCTGTCTTGCAAATTTTACTCTTGGTGTTCTTTGGAATCTTGAGACCATCGGGTAAAGAAGTTTGGGCTACACTGGCAGAAGATGGGTGACCACGTGGAACAAAGACGAGCTGCCCCAGCTGAAGACTCGTAAACAGCCATCCAGTCAAACAGCCAGCAGACGTGTGGGCAAGGCCATCCTAGGCCAGTTGACCACAGATGCATGAGCAAGCCCAGTAGAGATCAGCCTCTCTGCCTTCGTCTAGAAGAATATGACCTATGAACACAGTTGTTGCTTTAAGCCATTAATTTTGGGGGTGGTTTATTACACAGTAAAAGCTAACCAATACACTGAGAAAAGATATTTTGCTGGCCAGACCTTGCATTGACCTGAAAAAAACAACTTTTTGCTGGGGCCTAGACTTGTTCCTGGAGGCCTTTGGCTTTAATTGATTTAATTTGTTGTTTCTTTTGTTTTTGTTTTTAAGACAGAGTCACACTCTGTCACCCGGGCTAGCTAGAGTGCAGTGGCATCATCATAGCTCACTGGAACATTAAACTCCTGGCTTAAGAGATTCTCCTGGCTCAGCCTCCCAAGTAGCTGGAACTACAAGCGAATGCCATGACATCTGGGTAATGTTACTATTTTTAGTAGAGATGGGGTCTCACTCCTGCTCAGTCTGGTATTGAACTACTGATCTCAAGTGATCCTCCTGCCTCAGCCTCCCAAAGTGCTAGGATTACAGGATTGACTTCTAGAATTCCTTTAGTACTCATCTCTCCTTCACAGATAAGTATATTTCCTTGTTGTTTCTTCTGTTACCAAAAATCTTGTGTCTTTTACACATGTGGTCAATTTTAGGGGCAATATGTATGCAAGCCAAACTGTGGTTTGAAACTTCATTGAGCATACAAGTGGCCACCTAAATGTTCAAATCAAACGGTTAGCCATGCAACCACTACATTGCAAATGCAGGCAAAATTTCTCCCAGAACTTTCCATGATTTGAAATGGTGCCTAAAGTTTCATCCATACAACAGTGGCTGAGAGAGACACTATTCACTTATTCATCAACACACTTATTGAACGCCTAGGCACTCTGTGCCAGGCACTCTGCTAGGTGTGTAAGGTACAGCAGGGAACAGGACCTAGGCTGGTACCTGCCATTAAGGAGCTGGTGTCCCACACACCAAGTGCTTTGACTTTTTAAATTTCCTTGGCTGGGGTCAAATCAAGACAGTTCTATTAGGTACCTACCCTGTGAAGAGTATTAGGAGAAATGAGAGCAAAGAAGTATTTTAAAATTTGTTTCAGCAATTCTTCATGATGTCAAATAATGCATTTCTTGATTTTTTTCCCATGGAATTGTCTTATTATTTGAATGAATAAAGAATATACTATTTTGAGCATTGGTGACGCATCAACTACATGATGCACTATCTGGATGGCTAAGGCTACATCTTGCTCACATCCAGTGTAATTGGAGAACTGTAGCAACCACCCACATAACTGATGTATGCTGAATCACTCAAGAGAAATCGCCCAGCAGAAAATAATCTTTCCAACTTGAGTGAGAGTGAGACCCCTTCTCTACTGGAAATAGAAAAATTAGCCAGGCATCATGGCGAACGCCTATAGTCCCAGCTACTCGGGAGGCTGAGGCAGAAGGATCGCTTGAGCCCAGGAGTTTAAGGTTGCTGTGAGCTAAGCTGATGCCACTGCCCTCTACCCAGGACAACAGAATAAGACTCTGTCTCAAAAAAAAAAAAAAAAGGAAATTGAACCCCCCCTCCTCACTATGCCCTTCATGGAAAAAAAAAAAGAATCTTTGACTTGATGACTGTCTATTTATTTTATTTTTTATTTTTGAATAGAGATGTGGTCTTGCTATACTGCCCAGACTGGTCTCAAACTCCTGGCCTCAAGTGATCCTCCTGCCTCAGCCTCCCAAGTCCCTGGGATTACAGGCTGGGGAGAAAAATTATATATTAAGATTGCCTCATCTATTCAACAAATAATTTTTGAGCTACTGTTGTGTCTTAGGCATTGTTCTGACTTCTGGGGGTAAAACAGTGGAAGAAAGCAAGACAAAAATCCTGCCTTCATGGAACCACGCATTTTAGGCTGAAGAAATAGATACTTAACATAGTAAATAAGAAAAATACATATCGCATGAGATAATAAGTGCTGTGTAGAAGCATCTATATATTCCATCTATGATGTTTTACAGATGTTACTTACTGTGTGTGACTGCCAAACACTCCCAATGTCATCCTAATCGTCTTTTTTATAGCAAAGGCAATACTGACCACATTTCTGTCTTTGTTCAGTTCAGATTGACAAATATATGCTGGGCTCTAACAAGCACCAGGAGAGGGACAAGGTGAAACACCCCTTTCTTGCCCCTGAGGAGCAGTAAAGCCATCAAGTAAACACATAATTGTGATATGTGATAGCCCCTTGACAGAGGTAACAGCAAGTTGTTACAAAAACACGCTACCTGGAAACATTGCCTTCTGAAGTATGTGAAGGAGTTCATGTCAGAGGCCAAAAAGCTAAGAGTCCGGCAGCTACATGATATTAAGGGTAGGAAAAGGGACAGGTAGGGAAGAAATACCAGCTCTTTGGATAGTCCCAGATTATAAAATGTGAAGTGAATTTTCCCATACGGGTGTCTATCTGGCTAGGACTGCAAAGCTTCTCCATGGTAAATCTGAAGTTCAGAATGCCAAAGTATTCCCTTTCATCTAACTCTCTGACAGATGAATATAATCCAAAAATAAAAACATCTCTTCTTTACTCTCATTGAAATCTTGTTCCTCTTTTCAAAATCTTCTAAACAAAATGCCGCTTTAAACTGTGGAATCTGTTCTATTGATTTGTCTTAATAAAAGATCTCTCCTGAAGAAAAGAAAGCCATCTTTGATCTGACTCAACAAAAAGATCTAATCAAACAATAAAATCCATGAGGGAAAGAAAAAAAAAAGTGTGTGTGGGGGGGCAAGCTTCTTTGAGCCACATCAAATATAGGAGAAAGAAAATACTTCATTTAAATGCTAAAAAAACTAACACAAAACAGCTTGAAATGTAATAACCTCTGCTGAATAAGTGAAACCACATGTTGATCTGACACGAGTTTCTGGGACACAATTAAAGGTCACTCCGTGTACAAACATCTCATTCTGAAGTGAGAGGCTCGAAGGGCCTGTCAGCATTTCTGGCCACTGTGGGGCAGGTGTCCCAACCTGGCACACCCCATACAGATGTTGGAAAAGGGTTTTAAGGTGATATCCTGCAAACCGGAAGCTCTAAATCGAACCACCCCAGGAAATGTACAAGCCCTGGGAGTCAGCTGTTTCTGTCTCCAAGTCCTAGGAGACCTGACTCATAAATGCTAGAACCGTCGCTAATGTCCCTCCTCGTCGCTAATGTCCCTCGCTAATGTCCCTCCTCGTTGGAGGTGGCTTTGCTCCATGAGGAAAACACAGCTCCCGTTGTGCGCTGCCCACCTTCCCGGGGCCCCAGGGTGCAGGGAGAGGGCTTTGGGTGTTGGGGCCACAGAGCTGCGCCTGGAAACGCGTCTTGCAGCAGCTGGGAGGCTTCAAGACCATCTAGGGGCACACAGGGTAGCTGGCAAGGGACTTTCTAAACGCTGGAGCCCCCCCAGGCCTATCTCGGCTCACCAAATCCCTTTAAGGAGAGGATGTGTGGAGAAAGACTTCAAAGCCTCTCAGAAGGGAAGTCACATCTTGAAAGCTCTTCTCAGAACCAGAAAGAAACCCACCATCCGAGCTGAAAGAGAAGTCAATCTTAAAGAGCAACGAAGGAGGATCAAAGCCTAAGTTCATGTGAACTTGAAAAGCGAGCCTTTCCAGTGGAACGTGACTCTACTCTTTCCGATTCACTCAACGCGCATTTTGGAGATGGCGAGGTTTACTTCCTGAGGATCAAAATAAAGAAGCGAGTCTGCGTTCCAGAAAGTCACGTGGGCTCCCCCCACCCAACTCTTGCCACCCCACCCCACCCACACACACCCCTTTCTGATCTCTTTTCCAACCCTCCCCTCCGGCTTCTTCCTCCCCGCCAGGCGGCAGGCACCGCCGGCTCGCGCGCGCGGCGTGGACGCTGCGGCCCCTCGCGCCCCTGCGGGTGTAGACGCGCGCGCGCGCGCGGGCGGCGCACACTTGGGGCAGAGACGTGGGCGGGGAAGACGGAACATGGCTGAGAGCAGGAGGACGGAAGAAAGCCGTTTGAGTCGAGCCGTTTCTTCCTGCCCCGCCCACACCCGTCCCCACTCTGCGACCTCCCCCCTCTCCCCTTCTTGCTCTTTGGACCTGGCAAGGTGAGCCCAGCTGGCAGCAGATGGGTAAGGAACCGTGCTTGGGGTGCTCTCTTGGTGTCTTTAATTATTCCAGGAATACCTGAATGCAGTCTGGTTGTAAAAAAGTGAAAGCTCAAAGCAAAACCAAATTAAAAAAACAGAAAAAAAAAAAAACCACCTCATTTCTGTTGGAGGGGCATCATCTATGCCAACCCTCTCCTACCTGTGCCCCCAGGTGCTTTTTTCAGTTTGGCAGGTACCTTCCAGGTGGTAGAGACAGGAATATTATCTACAGATAGAAATGGAAGAAAGGAATTCGTAAACCTGAAAGCAGAAAGTTGTGACATAAATAATAATAATAAAAAAACCAATACCTTTGATCAATAAAATCACTGATTCTTTGCAAAGTCTGATAAAATTAAGACAAACCATTGGCAAGAATGAGTAAGAAAAACAAGAGGGAATGCAATGCTAAACAACATCGAAAATCAAAGCGGAGACATAATTACACATACAGAGCAGGCTTTTTAAATGTTACGGTACTGATATGCACAGCTCTATACCCTTGGGTTTGAACGCCTAGCTTTGTCTAGGGAAAAAAAAATGAATTATCAAAAATCAGCTCAGTCAGGTGTTCTGTTTACACCTGAAGGTACTGCTTTTCTTTACCTGCTTGCTTGATGTAGTGTACATCAAATACCAGCTACAGAAAATCACGAGGAAACTCAGGTCCTTTCTTTCATGGAATTGTCAATAGCCTTAAGGAGACAGGATGGCCCCAAATGCTTACAACTTCGTATCTAAAAATGAGCTCATTTAGAAACGAATTTAGCTTTTAGAAGTTACTGCAGCAGGTAAGTTATGATACAGATGAGATAAATCACTGAAATTTGATATTTTCCTTAGAAGCTTATTAGTTAATCCAACTCCAGGCTGATGCATTGGTAGAGGTTTCTTAACTGACAACTAAAAAAACAGCCACAAGAACAATAGCCAGTCTTTATTTAGTGCTTACTCTGTGCCACACATGTACATTAGCGTATTTGACGCTCTCATTATGGCGTTTAGGGCTTGAGACCATTATTATACTATACCCATTTTAAAAATGGCAAAACTGAGGCGTGGAGAGATTGCCCAAGGTCACACAGCTTTGAGTGGCAGAATGGGGATTCCAGTGGAGAAAAGCTATGAGTGTTGAGGATGTCATTCGAAGACCATATTATATCATAGGAGAATCCAGCCATAATTTCCCTTATTTTAACTGAGAATCCCATAATTTCACCCTGGATAGTACACCTGTCTTAAGTAGAAGGTTCTTAGGAAGAGTGGGGATTTAGGGTAGGAAAAATATCAAATGCCCTCAGGAAAGACAACTAAAGGATTTTAGGATCCTGAGGGAGTGTCAGCTAGGGTGAGGTTTACCTAATTGGAGGGTTAGGAGATAAAGATAGAAAGCCCTTAGCCTGTAACTGGAACCTCAAAAACACCAATACACGTTAACTATCATCACATTACTATTTTTGTCATTATTACTCCCTACTTTTAATTTTTTAAAAGATTTCTTCTTTCTCCCTTCTCTTTCCCCACCTCTTCCTCCCTTACCAAAAGGACTGACTAAATAATCCACTCAAAAGACCTGATTGGCTATAAATACCATATTTGCATTCCAAAGGAGAAGAATTATGGTGCCAAGGCTATTGAGGATATTAATGAGGCTCTGGGTCGCTGGAAACTCATCCCCTCCCAACCCCTCTGCCCATCCCACCTCTGGCAGCTGTTTGCACTCCCCCACCCCTGCCTCCCTGTCTTCATCCAGAGAAAACAAGTGTAGAAGAGGTTCTCCTGGGCCCAAAGTCAGTGAGGTCTACTTTAGTGAATATTCTAGAATGGGAGGATTGTAGTTCTCCAATTGTTCTATATGGTTGCAGACCCCTCCAGGGCTGGGACTCAAGCTCTGCCTTCTCTTGTGTATGGACATTCATGAAATATTTGCTTCTCCATGGGGAAAGTTTTAAAATACCCTAGTCACAGAAAACACACTTTGAGAAAAGTATTTTAGGTTTGATTTACATAGGTCTTGAACTAAACTAATTTCTTGCTTTGCTCTGGTTTTTTGTGCTTTTGGTCCTGAAAAGTTCTAAGTTATGTGTATTACCTGATTCAGACTCCACCCTGCTATTATTGGCTGCAGGGACACTCCATTCTTTAAATGGCAACTTAATATTTTCTGTATTAAGAGCACGTATGTCCCTTTCGATGTGATATAAAAAACACAAACCATTTTGCTTCCTTGAAACCCATAATTCCAGTGGCTTTTTAAATAACTAAACTTCTCTTTGGGCAGATGTAAAAACAAAACAAAAAACCAGCTCATCTGCATTTATTTTATAAGCTCTCTATAACTTTAGAGCAAGCAGTTTATAACAACTGGGATAAATTTGTCTTTTTATTTTGTTGTTTTAAGTAAATTTGGTGATTTCAACCACTTTAGAAATCCTTTCTAAATCCTTTATGATAACGTGAGCTTTGTTGTAAATGTGAAGTCAGTCAAGGAGCAGAAATATGTTAGTGAGTTGCCTGTATTTTACAGTTTTCCTTTCTCAGGCATGTTATTTTTAGAGGACACACATTAAGCAACTTGTTTCTGAATTAAAGTATTGCTCAATCTGTTTGCTTTCTTAAGAAGAATTGCCCTAAACCACTAAGCTGTGTGTGTACGGGATCCTGGTTTAGGGCAAGTCAGTAAATGAACTTTTAAAGTTCAGTCTACCAAGATGAGTCAATGTGATTGATTTATTAATTAGCAAAAGCCATCCTCTGAAATTACCTTACATTAATCACAATTCATGCAAAATATATCCAATTAGTCTTAAGATGTAGGTTTGACAAACTATCCTTTCTTCAGAGACTACAGTCAATTTTAATAACCTTTGCTGGCTAAATCATTAATGTTCAGACTGAAATGATGAGTGGTTGAAGAAATTCCGAAAAGTACAACAGGCCCATTCTGGCAAAGCTGAAAACTATGTAAAATGGAGACATGGAGGCTGGGAGAAGCAGGAAACAAGATTCTGACAATTCTGGCTAGGCTAGTATCTGCTGCCGCTTGCACTAAAGGAATCAACTCTAATTGGATTCTTCTGAGTCAAGGGCTGATGAAAATGTACAGACCCAAATGGGCAGGAAACTCCAGCTGCCGGAACCCAGCTTTTTAGTTAAGGACAGCTAATACCTGGCCAGTGCCAAAATAAACTAATCCATTGGTAAAAAGGTCGGGCTGACTAGACATTTGGACTCCTGAAATTCCTCTTTTGCATGCTGCAAAACCCATGCTTTCAAAATCATACACAATTTCAAGTGTTCACCTAATATATAAAAAAAATCATACACATTTAACTAAACTAAATTCATGTCCTCCAGTAGACCTGTTTTACAGATAAGGAAACAAAAGCCCTCAAGGTTAAGTGCAATATTACATGGCAAATCCAGGGCCAGAATCCAGAGATCCTAAAGCAAGCTAAATAGCTTGTCTCAGCTCATGTATTCCTTTATATAATTAAAGAGCTGGAATAAACAAAATTGTATGGTTTCCAATTCTAAAGTGTTGTGGTTTTAGTATCTTGATTCTGAGACCGCTTTCTCAATAACCTTGCTGTGCCTAAGTATTTGTAAACACGTATAAATATATATGAGAAAAGATTATCAAATGAAAAGTTCTGTAGGAACAAAGTTTAGGAGATTCAAGTTTCAATGATTTGTATAATATATGACTAAATTTTTAGAACGTGTGTAGAATGTGTTCACTTCCTATTACCACATGTGAGTTTTTTTTGACCTACTGACTACATAAGAAAAAAAAAGGGAAGCCAGATATTTCTTGAGATTTTAAATTCCCCATTCTAGAGACAGAATGAAAATGATCAGAGAGATATGGGAAAATAGTGTGTGTGTTTTTTTTTTTAAATCCACCTCCTTTTATTGCAAAGATTTAAATATCTCTAGATTATATTAGAAAAGAAAGGCACAGGCAAACCCAAGTAATAAAACACCAGTGAGTTTTAGTGAATTCATCTCCTAAAGATAGTTCACTGCCAGTGGAGTGTGGTTCCTGAATTATCTTGTGAGCCCAAGTGATTAATCAGAAATGAAGTCTGGCCTAAGATTCAGGGAGGTTTCACAAAAAGGCAGAAAATGTCCATAGATAATATTATTGGAGGAGTGGGGGGACTCTTTTTTTTTTTTTTTTCTTTTTCTGGATATACTCAACATTTTACAGAGTAAACCATAAAATTCTTGAATGTTAATGAACTATCAAGTACTTTGGGTTATTTACAAAGATGGAGAGAGAAAGGGAGAGAGAGGAAAACGCTATGTACACAAGGAGCTGAAAAACAAAGGAAGCTTCCATGTTAGAAGCAGGAGTGATTTGGAAAGACAACTCTTGGAAATGAGTTTACAGCTTCCTTAACTTTGAAACTTGTTAACTCTTGATCACTCACTCTTAGCCTCAGTTCTGGAATCAGGGAAGTTAAAACCTGTAGCTGGAGCAATGTGCATGAATCCTGACCAGTGTCTGCCAAAGTTTCCCTTTGGCCAGGGATCCTCACTCAGCATTCAAAAAGGAAAGCTGTTTTCCCGGCTCTTTAAATGCTGCCCTGTGAACAAAATACATTTGGGGAATGCTACCTTTTAGGATGATTTTACAGAGCAATTGAACTTACTTGAACTTTTTCCTTTTGTTTTGAAGGCCTCTGGGGAAGTTGATAAAGTTATGATTTATCGTTTTGCAAGGGACATTCCAAAAAAGCAAGTTTGTTTAATTCTTTTTTTTTTTTTTTTAAGACAAGCAAAGGTCATGGAGATGAACTCAACTTTTAATTTAACTTTGCGAGCCTTGTTTTGAAAAGAAGGGTATTTTTTTAAATGTCAAGTATTTGATGTGTCATCGTTTAAAAAGTAATTTTAACTATATAATAACAAAAATGCATTCTAATTGTAAAAAAAAAAAGTTCAGTATTTAGTGAAAAGGTTATGAAAAAAATGGA